CCACCAATTTATAAGAATCTACGAAAATCCTCCTTTTCTGCGCACATAAGTTGTGCAAACTGCAAATGGTGAGCACATCGTGGAACACTGAGAGCGCCAAGTTAGCTGCAATACTTCACCCAGGTTTGAGCTGTCAAGTAAGTGCTACCAAATTTGTTTGTGCGTGGTTGCGGTGAAAGAGTGCGCCGCTTCAATTCCCCATCACATACAACTCATCGAGATTGCGATGCATTTTGACGCGTTCGCTCAATCATTGTAAAATCCCCAAATTTGTCCATCGCTTTGGCAATCCTGCATCCATTTGTCATCATGTAGGCCCAAGTCCTACGTCACACCTTCAGCATTCACTCCATTCCTTCCTCAACGCACCAACACGCATCTACGCTTAGCCCACACTTCTACTTTCTCTTTATTCCCTCTGTTGCTCCTCGTTATTTTCGCCCGATTCCATTGCGAAGAATGGCCTTAGCCGATGCGGTGATGCCAATTCTTCGCCAGTGAGATCGTAGCCTTGCCTAAAACAGACAACTTCTGGTGCTAAGTTTAAAATTGCATATACCATTTTCCTCTCGCAGTCCATGCCTTAACTGCCCACAGTTGACCAACTCCCCTTTCTCTCATCCATGACTCGCACAAAAGCATTGCAAGGCATTCTTTTAGGCTCAATCTTTCATTTTCAATCTAAACAGTTGCACTCCCACAGCTAAGCACTAACATCTGCAGCAGCTTTCGACTGCTTTGTCGCCGTGGCCTCCTCGTGCAATCTTACAGCCAACAGTCCATTTTATGCAATCGGTGTGCAATGCAGATGGATTTGGTCTGCCAGTTGCAATTTCGCACAACCTATCAAGCGTCTACCAAAAGGCCAAATCACCTCGTAAACAAAACCAGAACGCAGTTGAATGAGAATGCAGCAATGTAATATTATTAATGCAGCCGAGCGTTTGAAAGTAGTTCGCAGTTGCATGGCCACTCCAAAGCAACTTCCGAATGTACACGGGGTGATGTTGAGACACAAAATCAGCACCCGCTTTATATGGGTAAATGTAG